CCCCCTCATTCATCCTATATTTGTGATTTCTCCAGTGTAATCACTTATTGTATTGCTTTATAAAGTGGTATTCAAAACGTGTATTTATTTCCTATACTTGAAATGAAACTGTGAGTCTAGACTTCTAGTTAATAGTGTGTTAAATTTTAGTTATTTTTCTTGATTCCCTTAGGTTATCTGTGTAAGCCTTTAAAACTACAATAATGTCATTTCTGGTGAATGTCTTTTCCAATTAATAAGTTGTTGTTCCATTATAAGAGACTTTTTAAAGACTTGATTATCAGGTAATTTCCACTTCTCTGAGGGATAATTTATAATTTTGGCTAACAAAAGAAAAATATTTACTGTGTCGGCACATGTGCTATTTTTAAGGGCCCATTTTTGCAAATTTAGTCATTAAAATACAGGAATTTTGTTTCTATGGCTTACTAAAGTATTTCTAACCCTTATTCCTGCAGACAGGCTGGACTCCAGGTGTATCTTCCATTTCTTTTCAAATTCCCCTTCTGTTCCTCTTTTGCTCCTTTTCTTCTTCCCAGCATGAACACAAAGCCTTCTTTGTGCAAGTTTCAGATAGATGAAAGCACAGTCCATCCCTGCTGTCACTGCTGTTTATTTAAAAAAAATCTAAACTAGGAGGGAAACTTATTTTTATGCAGAATCACAAACCCAAAGAGGAAAGGGTGTGTGGAGTGGGAAGTAGAGGTGGGGGGAAGGGGGTAGGGGAGGATTGGAGAGACTGGTTCAGGGATTTAAGTTGAAACTTTGTTTTTAAAGAGAATTTTCTCCTTATCTGTTTTGTATATTAATCAGTGAATAAAATTATTGTATTCTTTAGTTTGGTCAGTTAGGAAGATTTGAAGGAGAGGGAAAGAAATGAATGTTACGTCAGGGAAGAGAAGCTGAGGGAAACAGGGACGTTGGTTTAGCTAATATTATTATTACTCTGTACTGTGCAAGTGATATGAGGGTTGCAGAGTTTTGCAAGACTTGTTCCCTATTAAGGGAGGGCACGGTTCAGCAGAGGTTTGGAGCTAGGAAACTTAACGCTGTACCTTGGAAATGATGCTTGATTGGCATCTCTGCCCCTATTGGGGCACAATAGAAAGAAGAATACAGTTGGAAAACGGGCTAGGTTGTAAAGCATTTTTTCCACTACCTTCATGCCCTTGTTTTTTTGGTCAGGTTTTTTTTTTTTTTTTT